ATGATGTGGATTCGACTATATAAAGATAAAAACTATTTCACGAATCCTTCAAAATATAAACTATCGAATGAATTGATAAGTGAAATATAAGACATAGATAAGAAGGAATAAAAACACGAGTAAAATAAAAGAATACATTGGATAAGAAGATGAGAAACTTCGAGAAGAAGAAAAAAACTCGAAGAGGAAAAAGAAAACAAAGAAGAAAAAATAAAATGTGAAGGGAAAGAAGACAAATAAGAGATAAATAAAAAATAGAATAAGATGATGTCAGAGAAGACGAAGATGATAAAGATAGAGAGAAGGGGAATGAGGAAGAAGATAAACCGGAAAAAGAATGTAAAGAAAATTATAAAGAAAAATAAGAATGGTTAGTTGGAGGATATGACGACACAAGAAATGATTGAAGAACAAAAATTGGAAAAAGAAGAAGCAAAAGAAAAAAGATGATTACAAAAAAATAAAAAAATGAAGGAAAAAAAAGATGGGATCACTGAAAAAGAATAAGAGGGAGAAAAAAACAATTATTACAAAATTTAACTATCGAATGAATTGATAAGTGAAATACAAAACGTAAACAAGAACGAAAAACATGAGTAAGAGATAAGAAGATGATGGAAAAGAAGATGAGAAACTTCGAGAGGAATAAGAAAACTTGAACACTAGGAAAAAGAAATCAAAGAAGAAAAAATGGAATGTGAAGAAAAAAAAGACAAAGAAAAAATAAATAAAAACTATAATAAGATGATGTAAGAGAAGACGAAGATGATAAAGATAGAGAGAGAGGGGAATGAGGAAGAAGAAAATTCGGAAAGAGAATGTAAAGAAAATTAGAAATAAAAAGACGAATAGTGAGTTGGAGGATATGAAGACACAAGAAACAGTTGAAGAATAAAAATTGGAAACTCAAGAAGAAGCAGAAAAAAAGAAGATGATGACAACAAATAAAAAAAATAGAAGAAAAAAGAAGAATATGAGATCACTATAAAAAATTAAAAGGGATAAGAAAACGACAATTACAAAAAAAAAACAAATCAAGAACTAATTTGTAATATGAAATTCAGGTGTGTGTTTTAGGGGGAGTTATGATGTGGATTCGACTATATAAAGATAAAAACTATTTCACGAATCCTTCAAAATATAAACTATCGAATGAATTGATAAGTGAAATATAAGACATAGATAAGAAGGAATAAAAACACGAGTAAAATAAAAGAATACATTGGATAAGAAGATGAGAAACTTCGAGAAGAAGAAAAAAACTCGAAGAGGAAAAAGAAAACAAAGAAGAAAAAATAAAATGTGAAGGGAAAGAAGACAAATAAGAGATAAATAAAAAATAGAATAAGATGATGTCAGAGAAGACGAAGATGATAAAGATAGAGAGAAGGGGAATGAGGAAGAAGATAAACCGGAAAAAGAATGTAAAGAAAATTATAAAGAAAAATAAGAATAGTTAGTTGGAGGATATGACGACACAAGAAATGATTGAAGAACAAAAATTGGAAAAAGAAGAAGCAAAAAAAAAGATGATTACAAAAAAATAAAAAAATGAAGAAAAAAAAAGATGGGATCACTGAAAAAGAATAAGAGGGAGAAAAAAACAATCATTACAAAATTTAACTATCGAATGAATTGATAAGTGAAATACAAAACATAAATAAGAACGAAAAACATGAGTAAGAGAAAAGAAGATGATGGAAAAGATGATGAGAAACTTCGAGAGGAAGAAGAAAACTTGAACACTAGGAAAAAGAAATCAAAGAAGAAAAAATGGAATGTGAAGAAAAAAAGACAAAGAGGAAATAAATAAAAAATATAATAAGATGATGTAAGAGAAGACGAAGATGATAAAGATAGAGAGAGATGGGGAATTAGGAAGAAGAAAATTCGGAAATAGAATGTAAAGAAAATTAGAAAGAAAAAGACGAATAGTGAGTTGGAGGATATGAAGACACAAGAAACAGTTGAAGAATAAAAATTGGAAACTCAAGAAGAAGCAGAAAAAAAGAAGATGATGACAACAAATAAAAAAATAGAAGAAAAAAGAAGAATATGAGATCATTATAGAAGAATAAAAGAGATAAAAAAAAAATTACAAAAAAAAAAAAAAAAAAAAAAAAAAAAAAACAAATCAACAATTAATTTGTAATGTGAGATTCATGTGTGTGTTGCAGGGGGAGTTGTAATGTGGATTTGGGTTTAGGGTGTAGGTTATTAGGGAGAGGGTTTATAATGTGGGGTTTGGGTTTAGGGTTTAGGATTTAGGGTTTAGGGTTTATATTGATGGATGTAGGGTTTAGTTCTGTTGCATTTTTAAAACTTTGAATTATAATAGAAGTATATCAAAATTAAAAGTCTTTGATTATAAACTTATATCTACTATTCTAAAATACACTCATTAATAGAAAAAACTAAAACAATAAAAGAAAATCTATTATCAAAAGATAACAACACAAATAAAATAGATTTTTAAAATATCTCGACTATATAAAGATAAAAACTATTTCACAAATCCTTCAAAATCTAAACTATCGAATGAATTGATAAATGAAATATAAGACATAGACAAGAAGGAATAAAAACACGAGTAGAATAAAAGAATACATTGGATAAGAAGATGAGAAACTTCGAGAAGAACAAGAAAACTCGAAGAGGAAAAAGAAAACAAAGAAGAAAAAATAAAATGTGAATGGAAAGAAGACAAATAAGAGATAACAAAAAAATAGAATAAGATGATGTCAGAAAAGACGAATATGATAAAGATAGAGAGAAGGAGGAATGAGGAAGAAGATAAACCGGAAAAAGAATGTAAAGAAAATTAGAAAGAAAAATAAGAATAGTTAGTTGGAGGATATGACGACACAAGAAATGATTGAAGAACAAAAATTGGAAAAAGAAGAAGCAAAAAAAAAGATGATGACAACAAAATAAAAAAAATAGAAGAAAGAAAAGATGGGATCGGTGGAAAAGAATAAGAGGGAGAAAAAAACAATTATTACAAAATTTAACTATGGAATGAATTGATAAGTGAAATACAAAACGTAAACAAGAACGAAAAACATGAGTAAGAGATAAGAAGATGATGGAAAAGAAGATGAGAAACTTCGAGAGAAAGAAGAAAACTTGAACACTAGGAAAAAGAAATCAAAGAAGAAAAAATGGAATGTGAAAAAAAAAGACAAAGAAGAAATAAATAAAAACTATAATAAAATGATGTAAGAGAAGACGAAGATGATAAAGATAGAGAGAGATGGGGAATTAGGAAGAAGAAAAATCGGAAATAGAATGTAAAGAAAATTAAAAAGAAAAAGAAGAATAGTGAGTTGGGGGATATGAAGATACAAGAAACAATTGAAGAATAAAAGTTGGAAACTGAAGAAGAAGCAGAAAAAAAGAATATGATGACAACGAATAAAAAAAATAGAAGAAAAAAGAAGAAGATGAGATCACTATAGAAGACTAAAAGAGATAAGAAAACAAAAATTAAAAAAAAAATAATAATAATAATAAAAGAAAAAAAAATCAAGAACTGTGAGATTCAGTTGTGTGTTTCAGGGTAGTTATAATGTGGATTTGGGTTTAGGTTCTTTAATTAGGGAGAGGGTTTATAATGTGGGGTTTGGGTTTAGGGTTTAGGGTTTATATTGATGGATGTAGAGTTTAGTTTTTGTTGCATTTTTAAAACTTTGAATTATAATAGAAGTACATCAAAATTAAAATTCTTTGATTATAAACTTATATCAACCATTCTAAAATACACTCATAAATAGAAAAAAACTAAAACAATAAAAGCAAATCTATTATCAAATGATAACAAAACAAATAAAATAGATTTTTAAAATATCTCGACTATATAAAGATAAAAACTATTTCACGAATCCTTCAAAATCTAAACTATAGAATGAATTGATAAGTGAAATATAAGACATAGACAAGAAGGAATAAAAACACGAGTAGAATAAAAGAATAAATTGGATAAGAAGATGAGAAACTTTGAGAAGAACAAGAAAACTCGAAGAGGAAAAAGAAAAAATAAAATGTGAAGGGAAAGAAGACAAATAAGAGATAAAAAAAATAGAATAAGATGATGTCATAGAAGACGAAGATGCTAAAGATAGAGAGAAGGGGTAATGAGGAAGAAGATAAACCGGAAAAAGAATATAAAGAAAATTAGAAAGAAAAATAAGAATAGTAAATTGGAGGATATGACAACACCAGAAATGATTGAAGAGCAAAAATTGGAAAAAGAAGGAAAAAAAATGATGACAAAGAATAAAAAAAGGAAGAAAAAAAGATTGAATCACTGAAAAAGAATAAGAGGGAGAAGAAAACAATCATTACAAAATTTAACTAATATTTTGTGCTTTCACAATTTATAAGTTCATATCAAATTAACAAAATGTTAAGCTATTACTTCCTTGGAAAATAAACATATTACAAAAATAGAAAAAGCGATTAAAAATAAAATATGTTAATCTAATATTAATTGAAAGGATTAGAGTTCTGAAATATTTCTTGTCCGTGCAGGCGCGGGCCAACCACCTAGTACTAATGAAAGAAGGAGTTTGGGGCCTCAGAGGCTACCCACGTTGAATTTTTTCAGGAGTGTTTTCAAGCTGCCACGTCATCGCTCCGCCACATCACCAGCGCCAAATATTAAAACGAATCGAGCCGGGCCACTTTTGACTTAAGCCCATAGGGGCCTCACAAAGCTGTAAGCCCATAGATCTGATTCTTATCTTAACCCCAAAAACCCAAACCCAAATAATCATTTACAGCAATCGATTCATATTCTTAGTTTATCTTCTTCGACGAACTCTTCTTCTTCCTCTCTTATCGGTTACTCCTATTCCATTTCCACTCCCTCCTCGAATTTATGGTGCCTGTAACCGCCTTCCTCGCTCCCGATCCTATAAAACCCACAAACTTTCCACAGAGGAGAGGCATCTTACTTTTGCAGCTCATCTTCCCCGTTAAGTAGATCTTCAAAAATTCCGATGGCCTCTACAGCTCCGTCGTCCTCTGTCAAGCCGATGACTTTCCAGGTTCTTGACAAAATTGGAGGCCAGTTTTGCAACGACGAGGTGTTGGTTCGTCTTCTGCATTTTTGGGAAGCCAGAAACTTCAAGAAAGGAAACGTGCTTATGGGCGTGGAGGTCCTTCTTCTCGACTCTGAGGTAATCCGGTCGTATATACACACTTTTATCAGTCTTTCCATTTATTTAGTATAATACCCGCTTCTGTTTTCTTCCCGTCGAGTAGTGATGAAATTGACAGTGTTCCTGAGTAGTTACGAGATGTGTTTTGCTATAGTATCCACTCTTGCTAATTTGATTGTTTTTTTTTTTATATATATATTTCTCACCTGTATGTTTTTACTTGCAATATAGCAATATTTATCTTCTACAAGAACCTCTCGCACGGATGGTGAATGATGTTAACATGCTTCATAACTATTGTCTCTGGATATAAACTAATCACCAATTGCACATTTTCCAGGGTAACGCAGTTCAGGGATTCATCTCGGCAACCCGCCTCTTTCGCCACGAAGGCAAGCTCAATCGCAACTCTGTTTACAAACTGAACAAGTTTGTGGTCAAACCAGCGAAGACACTTTACAGGGTTTCCGACCACAAACACACAATCTGGTTTACAGACTTCACTACGATGGTGCCGGTTCTTGATGGAGAGCCTAACATTGAGGCTCAGAAATTCAGAATCCGTGTCTTTAGTGACTTCGCGCCAATTGCGAAGATGTGGTTGGCCACCTCCGCCTAATTGGCGGCGACAACCTCAAGTCAGCTACCACCGCTGAGACCGGGACAGAGGTTCCGGAGAACCTCCGGTCAAAAGACAGGGTCTTCCTGCACCTGCTTATGCAAGAGTAAGTGCTTTTGTTTAGTTGAATAACAGTTCCCATTTTTCGGTGTTTATTAATTGCTCTAATTATTTATCATACAACTATAACTGAACCCCGATCTTGCAATTAACACAGTGGCGAATCCATTCGCGTTAACCTCTGGGGAGACATTGCCGCTGCTTTCCGTCAGAGATGGAACACCAGCACTGTCCAGCCAACTGTTCTTCTTATCACCACTGTGAATCCAAAAACCATTGGAGGTCCACATACTCAACCACCACTGATTTGCAAACCGTTTACAGACTCGTGCTGACCTTTTACTTTCTTTTTCACATGATTTTGTAGGTGCTGTTACGCTTAGCTCCACCTCTTCTACGAGACTCTACTTTGACGCCGACATTGCCGAGACTCAAGAATTCATGACAAGGTATGTCTCCATAACCCTGCATTTACGTGTGAACCTCTCTAACATCTCTGACATATTTCTATTAACTTTTCCTCACTCAGGTTTGGTCCAGCCCAGGAGTCTATGCCAACAGTGACCACCGCCATTACTAAATACGAGACGGTCACTCTTAATGAAATCCATCAGTTTTTGCAGAATACTAAAATGGTTTTATACTCGACTGTGAATCTCTTCGTGCTGACTTTGGATTTCCTTGAAACAGGTTGTTAGCTTCTACTGCATCGCCACCGTCGTTGATGTCCTCGGTCAAAATGGCTGGCACTATATCTCCTGCACATCCGCTAGATGCAACACAAAACTGGCGAAGACTGAGACTTCCTTGTACTGTACCAAGTGCAGGAAGATAAGCAACGTCGGACTAACCAGGTATGTCTACATTCTTCCTCCATATCCGTAAACACGCTCATCGTAATTCGAATTTAAAGCACTAGGCTTAAGATACTCTGTCTGCGTTGTCAGGTACCGTTTTGAAATTTCCGTGCGTGACATCAACGGGGATGTTGGTTGTTTTGTCCTCTTCGACGATGACGGCAGGGACATAGCTGGGAGAAATGCAGGAGATGTCTTAAATGACTCCATCCAGGTAAACCTAAGAAGAGGTTAATACGCAAGTCTAAAATTCTTGGCTAAGCAATATTCCTTTTCAGAGTGCTGCTGAGGAGCATCGCCTAGAGATACTTACAACCACTCCGGAGTGCCTCAAACCAATCATTGGCCGCACCTACAAGTTCCAGATCAAGTTGAAAGACTACAATTTCACAGCAACAAGACAGACTTTCACTGTCTCCCGTATTGTTACGGAGGTTGCTGAGGTGGAGAAAGTTGATCCCTCAGAACCAGATGGCACGCTGTCTGCACCGGAAGTGTGAGACAACAGTGGATGCACATCTGACTTACAAACTGGGGAGCTCGGTGGCAAAAAGACAGGGAAGCGTGGTCCTTCGGAATCAGACGGCACACATGCCGCAGAGGAAGTGGGTCAGAACATGGGAGAGACAGCTAGCTTGGAAACGGTGGATGCCGGTGGCAGCAAGAAGAAAGAGAAGCGTCCACGCCTTGATGACTAATTTCGTCTTTCCACTAAACGTCAACGACGTTATATTCAGACTTCCCATTGTCATTTGCTCTGTTTTCCCCTTTTGAGTTTCACCCTTTCCTTTCAAAACATTTCAGTATGATGATTGTTATGATGATTTCGGGTTGTTTTATTTAAAATTTAAGTTAACGACGTTATATTCACACTTCCCATCGTCATTTGCTCTGTTTTCCCGTTATGAGTTTCACCCTTTCCTTTTAAAACATTTCAATATGATGATGGTTATATACTTTGGGGTTGTTTTATTTCAAAGTTAAGTTGCACGACTATTAGTGCCATGCTTAATCTCAGGTTTTTGACTTGACACCCACGCTTCTCTTTTCAGGTTCGAGTTGCGGATATATGGCCACGATCAGATTCTGAATTAATTCAGTATAAACAATCAATTTCCACGCACAAAGTACATAAAAATGTCCTCCATACACGATGCCATTTCCATGTACATTTAGATGGCTCCAACTTACCAAATGGCTAAAAATTATTTAATAGTATGTTAAACCGGCAACTAAGGGAACGGAAAAAAATAATTCAAAACCGAAGACTGCATTAAGGCTTGATTTGATCGGAGTATATTTTTCATCCCATATACGTCGTCATCATAGTATCCCTTACTTATTACATTCTCTGCAAGGAAATCTCTTCTCCTCGCAAATTTAAACAAAACAACACGTCTGGCCGTTGCGTTAAAGGTCTTCGATAACAGATCATATAAGACTGTTCCGCTCTAAAAATGGACCGCGTAGATGACAGAAAACGGAAACGGGGCCAACAAAACACCACATCAAACCAGGGTAAGTCTCTCTATCTCTATTCTGCCGTACAGCGTATCATCACAAAGGAACAAATAAACTATACAGAAAACGTGTTGACCATGAGTTAAATTGTATCTACATAGGGAATGTCGCGGCACCAAACAACTACCGACTATACTATCATTGTAAGCTTCTATCACACAGTATTTGTTACATACTTTCAGCTACGAAAACTATGCCCTTACAAACGTAAGGACACCTCTTCTCACCGTTTAAGTCAGTAAATAACTCTTCAGCGTAATGTCTCTAACCAGGTGGATGTGACAAGTGCACGTTATACGGTACGCATAAGAGGGCAAAGAAGCCAAACGTCGACAACAATGTATTGCGAAGCTGAATTTACTCCCACATATTATTAATCTTATGACTTCATATTTCTCTCGCAGTACAACATAAACAAGCTCGATCCCTACGCAAATCAATAATGCTAACGATAACGAAAAGGTGGAAGACACGCCGCTCTGGAGCAAACCCTAATGAGCTTTTGGCCTCTATCAAGATCAACTCGCAGTATGAAAAACTACAATATTACACGTCAATAACTTCTAAGTTTATAACAAGTTGGACTTTTTCACTTCAAAAGATTAACTTGCCATTTCCCTAAATTTATATATTCAACATCTAATTGCTTCAATCAAAAACTCTGTCATTCCATTTTCTTCACATAATAGCATTTAACAAATTTATAGAAAAAAAATACCCGGGTGTAGCCCGGGATATCCCCTAGTATATATATATATGACGAAACAATTAATAATATGATTTCTTAAAAACCCAATTCCTTTAATCCAACCGATTTGTGATTTGATCCAAAGACTGAGTTTTAAAACCAATACTAAAAACACAGCTTCACATCTCAAAACAAATACGTATATATACACAAATAGTCAAAACATTCGCACACCATATACACACTTTTCACATGTGCCCATTACACAAAAAGAAGTATTTCTCACTGAAAGATGGTAAAAAAAGTTGTCGGCTCTAAAGAACAATAACAGATTATTTTTATTTTTACACTCTTCTTCTCTCCATATCTCCTAAAAGTCAAGTCACCTTCTGTATTCACAAGTATGCATCTTCATCACTTCCTTCTTGTTTACCATAACATTATTATCAATATTCCTTCACAAAACCTGCACCATAGTTCCAACTTCTAACAACAAATCTTTCTGCTTAAACAAAGTTAAAAAGCAACACAAGAGCAAACAAAACTGGTGATTTGATGATTCTACAATAAGGTCACGTTACGCTAACAACTGATTTTAAAAGTTTTGATCGTTTCTATATCTTCCGTGTAGGTAGTAGAAACTGTTTCTTCATTTTGTATAGCTACAAAGTTTAAAGGAGTAGAAGCGAGTGCCACCTAACTTCTTTGAAATACCTGTTTTAGCGATAATGACCAGAGTAAGATAATGTCCCAACCGAGCTTCTAATAGGCGTGGGAGGCAATAAAAAGAACCAAGAAGCATACATCCTCATAAACTATGCTTTCACGAATCATGATCGCCATAAAGGAAGAACATAACTTCACATCAAAAACCAATATCGTCCAAAAACCAATAACTTCTCAAAAACCAATAAATCCTGATTCACACTCGATTTTATCAAGACAAATTTGTCTTTGTTCCTCACGAGCCTGATTAGAGAAGGGATTTTTTAAAAGAGTTCTACGAAAAATCATCAAACGCAACTCAAACAAACATTAAGAAAAAAAATTAAAAACAGACAGAAGTTGGTGAGTTCTGTCTAGGATTGTCTGTCGCCTTCTTGAAGATGGTATTTTTGTCTTTCTAAGTTCACTTCAAATCGACCCCAAAAAGTCTTACTTTGGTTAAGCTCGGTGAAGAAGTTGATGCGACGCAATCTTTCTTCTCCAACGACTCCCTCTCTTTCTTATGGTTCCAGTAATCCACTAAGCGATGGTTCGGGTCAAGAGCCTCAGTCCCCTGTATATGAAAATGATATACAATGTGTAAGAAAGAAATCATGGAAGGCGGTTTATTCTACTCTAATCCGGTCTAATCCGTCCGAACCAAAACCATCACCAAAAACAAAAACGTTTTGCTTTCATATCTGCTACATCCAAACAAATCATAACGGTAACCTAAACTAATATGAAATCAACCAACTCAAACCTTCAAAATACAAGATTTCTCTTTTCTTTTCTTTGTCAAAAAAAAATCTGAATCGAAACCAAAACCAAAACTGTAATAACCGAACCAAATGGGTTTCGGTTTCTTAATTTCAAGATGCTAAAATGATTTACCTGAACTATGGATGGGGAGAGAAAACCAAACATCTTGAGGCCATTAATGCTTTCCAAAGCATTTAGATTTATCTCTTGGCTGCTGCAGTGTTTTGAGAGCTCTTCGTTCACTCTCTTCAACACCATTTCCCAGCATTTCTGAGCTGAGACACTGGAGAAGCTCTCCTCTTTATATTCTTCCAATGTTACCTTCAACCATATAATAAACAAGAAATGTAACTTCAAGCGTAAACACGAACTAACAAGAATGTTGTAAATGGATTTTACCCTGAAGAGTGGACCCATGAGTCCAGCATCCACAATCTCAGAAATGTAATAGCTCAGTCTCATTGGATCTTGCACGTTATAGAACTTTACCCGACTCGTAAACCCTATAAAAAAAACAAAAATTGTAAAAACAAACTCTCACCAGTCATCAAATTTAAGCTTCTTGCAATACGTGAAACTTCAAGGGCTAAAAAAAGAGTTTAATGGAGATGCATTACCTTTTGGGAATATCGCATGCTTGTTAGACCAAAGCTTTCCAAAAACCAAGTCCCCGAAGTTTATAGGCTCAACACATGCATCAAAGCTGATCAAGAACGCATTATCAAAGTTCTCTGTTGAAACATCACACTCACCATCAGGCTGTAAGTCTACATTCAGATCAAATGTAGCCACCTCCTTAACCGGTTTTTCAACATCGATAACCGAACTAGATTCTCCCTTCTCAGTCTTTGAAGAATCTTGGATGATAACTCTAGAACTAGATTCTCCCTTCTGAGTCTTTGAAGAATCTTGGATGATAAGTCTAGAAGCCCAAGTGTTTAGATCCTCTGTTTCGCCTTCCAAAGCTCTGACCAGTGAGCTTAGCTCATTCATGGTGTAACGAAGAATGATGAAGGGATTTTTCACTTCACACGAACAAATATCGTCCACATGTATCAAACAAACATAGTCTCCGCGAAAGCAGTTAAAGCATCCAGAAGCAGAGAGATGCAAGTCGTACAAGCAGGAGAGGCATTCCATTTCTGATCCTGAATCAAAATCCTTGTCCATATCAAGCGAGGTGAAACCGGTTCCATACACTCTGATATTTGATTCTTCCTCACGTAACCGAATCTTGAGTGCCTTAGTAAGAGTTCCATTCTTCCCGCAGAATCTTTTCCATCTTAGGTTATCAGTAGTTTCTTCCCCACCAGCTAAGAGTTCCAAAAGCGACTTAATAGCTTCAAAAGCAGCACCGAGGAGAAGTTTGTCATGAGACAGAGACGTTTTCCGAGCCTCTTTACTGTATATTTCCACAGCTTTCTGTCCGTGAGATAACCACTCAACCGGAGCCATATTCACCGCTTCTGCGCAGTTGAATCCGGTGCTGAATCCAGAATGATACGCCTTAGGGAACGTCACAACAAACTCCCCTGGCTGCTGAACCGCCCGATAAACCGGGACGCCTTCCGTCGTCAAAACCGAAGGAGAAAACTGAGTAACCAGTCCATGAAGTAGATCAGGTGCTTCGGCGAACAGGTCAGGAAGATGTTTCTTCATCGCCTGCTCCAGTTTGGTTGCATGGCTTCTAGGAACTCCGTACCATACTTTTGGCTCGCCAAAATGAAGATAGTTCACTGAATATAAGTGATGGTCCTCCACATGCTGTTCATAATAAAATAATATCAAAACATTTAGTTTAAGCGGGAAACCAAAAATAATTCAAAAAAAAAAAGATTTAAACGGTGGAAGTGTAATAATTTTTACCCAACAAAAAGATGAAAAACACATCCCAACATAGAGCCATGGCACGACAACACCGGAGATGTCACTATCCTCGAACGCGAGTACAGAACCAGGTAGACGCGGTAACCTGTTCAAGTTCCAACCGGAAGCTATGTATCGAGCCATTTCACTCTTCTTGGTTGACATTTCCTCCATATCTTGGTAAAATCCACTTCCAAGAACATGTTTCTGTAAATCGGCTCCATAATAAACCTACAAGGAAAAGAATCGAAATTATTAAACTGTTCGACACTAGTTTCTGTATTAGTTGGTTAATATTAATAACAAACCAATAAAAACATGTCTTGTACGTACCACAACTTCAGTCGTTGGTTTCTCAACTATTCGCCAGTATTCTCCTTCGATTTCCTCAAGAGATGGATACCATTTTGCATCTCCTCCAGCTGGGTCTTTCCTTTGAAAGTAGGAGCCTTTAAAACATTTTGCGTACTTGTCAAACTCCTGGAGAGTGAATTCCGAGCCCGAGATGAAACCAAAGCTTTCTTCTTTGGTTGTCTCGGCAGCGAGGACCATTGTTGAGTGTTTTTGTCTCTTCCTTTTCCTTCCCTTTTTTGGCTTCTTCACCGTCTTATTAATGGGCTCTCGGTTTTGGAGTAACTCAATGTTTTGAATTCTTGTTGGGAATTTTTTCCCTTCCCATATACTTTTCTCCTTAAGTCGACAAGGAAAAGACCAGTTTTCGGGTGGTATGATTCGACAAATACCAAATAATTCAGCTCGTTGACGTATCTTTTCTATGTAACCATATGGATCTTGAAACTCCTAAACACCAAAAAGTACAACAGAAATGAAGAAAGAACCAAAACATTGATTAAAACCTCTGGAAACAAGATGGACAACAATCAGTACCTCTAATGAAGGTTTGAATACAGGAGCTTCACTTAGGACTGGCCTCTGCCCTTTAGTTGGATCCCATCTTCCAAGAACCTATCAGAAATCAAATAAATACAAGTTTTTGTAAAGCCTTTATGGACTACATCCGATCGATTCCAAGTTTACACCCCGAGAATTAGAGCAGTTTTACCTTCCGATGACGCGGACTATTAGGATGTTCTACATTAATGTCCTTGTCCTGAATAAACAAAACAAAGGAAATTGGTATGCCAAATAAGAGAAAATTAAGATGTTGGAGGAGAAAAAACTCGAATGCATATTCAGATTTCCGATAAATCCAAAGGAAAATCAAGCGAAGTGCAAGAGAAGTCAGGACTAATTCAACTAACCATTTATGGGCAAAATCATGATTCAAAACAGAATCCACTGTCTCTATGTAAAACCAAGTATATAATCTAGTGTAAGATTTGTAACAACAAGCAAAATCAACCAAATCGATATATCTAGAATCGCGCGATTATCAGCGAATCATTCTCAGAGCAACTACATTTAAAGGTTACCTCTTCGATATGAGCTTCCGGTGCAGCAACATTGAAAGATTTCATCAAGCTCGAATCTACCACTTCACTGAGCAAAAGCAGGGGATCAAAGAAGCATAACCCTAATTCCGATTTCCAATGTATAAAGCAGGGATTAACAAATATATATGGTCTTAACTCATTATAGATAAGAAAAGTTAAAAAGAAAAAAAAAAAGATTCCATACCAATCACATTGACAGCTCAGTGTCTCTTATCAACAAGTATGACATACCAATTGAATAGTCATGTAATTAAATTTACTGAAATTGGGAAATAATATAAAGATTTGACTTACGCGAAAATTAATCTGATTTATTGACTCAACTATAATCAGGTGGAAGTATCACACAGAACAGTCAGACCCAGAGTTTTACACTAAAGATTAGTAGTATTGAGTAAATATAATCAGTTCAAAAAAAGCGTTTTCAAATAAAATATAGTAATAATTAATAAGGAGAAGCAACTCTAGATGGTTGAATTTTAGAACAAAGAATAGTACTTGACAAATAAGCAACTCAAAGAAAACATGAAAATCCTTATTTTATTTTATTTTTGTGCAAAAAACATGAAAATCCTTGACAACAAAAAAAAAAAAAAAACTCAAAGAAAACAAAACCTAACCGAATAAAACCAAGAAAGCAAAAAATATAAACTCACCACCATCAACAAGAATAACAACAAAAAAAGGGCGACAAATGAACGAGATAAGTTTGGTTGAGATTCGGAGATGGGGAGAAACATGTGAGGAACTGTCTTTGTCAACTTTAAATATCCTGATTTATCTGAACATTTTATTCAGAATTTTTATTTTTTTATACATAAAAAAAATCAAACTTAAAAAAAAATAATAGAAAAAATAATAAAATAAAGAAGATCAGACAGAGACAGACAAAAAGAAGAAGACAGAAGCAGAATATCCTAGGAAGACAGAAGGAAGTTATAGAACAACCGGTCAACCGTCGAATCTAAACGCAGGTTTGGGAAAGACAAACATTTATTTTAATTAAATAAATATTTCTACTTGAGATTATATTTTTTTAGTCGGTTCGGTCTTTTGGGTGTAAATATTAATAAACTTTTCTCTACTGTTCAAATAATCATATAGAGAACTTGAAAGAGCTTATAGCCAAAGCTTTACAATAGTTTTTGACAGTAACATATGACACTGAAATAAAAAAGTCTTCGAATTTCAGATGTTTCTTGATTCTTCCAGAAACAAACAAGTTTATGTTTGGGGTCTGAATTCTGACACTAGAGCTTATTGCAGCTGTACAGAGAAAATCCTAGATAAAAAAAAGGCAAAAAAAAATGGGAAAAACACAAATCAATTCTATTGTATTATTAAGAGCCTAAAATGTGATGGATAGAGAGAGGTCACTACGTAGCTATTATGTCTTACATCGGACGAGATGTTTCTGAGATTTCTTGTTGGTTCCATTACAACAACCATTTTTTGTATCAATCCTTGTTCCTTTTCCAAGTAGTATACGTTGGTTGTTGTCTTGTTGGATGGAAACTGGATTCATAACTGCATCTAGTTCACCACAAGATGCTGCGATTAGTCCTGTAAAGCAAGCTTTGTCAGTGATTCAGATTCCCATGAACATCAAAAGAAAACAAGTCTTGAGATTTTTCTTGCATTCTTACCTAAGAACAGAGGAGATACTTTCCCGGGTCTTGATTTGTATTCAGGATGGAACTGAGCAGCGATGTAAAAAGGGTGGCTTGGAACTTCAACAATCTGAAATGCCACCAAATAGTGAAGAAGATCATGTAAAAGATTTAAGCTTTTCCTTATGTAACGAATTTAGTTTACGGTTATAGACAAAAACCAACCTCCATGCGTTGGCCAGATTCATCTTTTGCAGCAAAAGAGAGACCAGCCTTCTCGAGGCATTCAACCATATCAGGATTCACCTGCAAGAAAGCAGTTTAGTTACATCATTTAAATCAAGAAAAGGGCTGTTTAGGGTTTAGGGTAAGAAACCGAAATGTGTATTCAAACATTTGTACCTCGTATCTATGTCGATGCCTCTCATCAATAAACTCTTTGTTCCCATATCTGCAAGAACCAGTTTGAAATAGAGTTTAACAACATAAGTAACCTTAGCATTCACAGAGTGATTTTGGAATCCATGTTGGTTTCTTACAGTCTTGCAGATTTGCTGTCTTTGACATGAAAATAGGATCTTCTTGAGCCTAACCGCATTGTGCCTCCCATATGAGTCTTGGACCCCTCAGGCATGAATATGATGCATGGATGTTCGGTTTCAGGTTTAAACTCGGTGCTGTTTGCATCAGGCAAGCCAAGAACCGAGCGCGAAAACTCAATGACAGCGATCTGCATCCCGAGACAGATACCGAGGAATGGGACATTGTTTTCTCGCGCATATTTTGCTGCAAGAATCTTCCCTTCCACTCCCCTATCACCAAACCCTCCAGGGAGAAGAACTCCATCTGCTCCCTGAAGATGAAGCACGATTCATGTCATGATCACTCAATGAGGCTTCGTCAAAGATTAAATTGCACAAAACTTTTAAAAAATAAAAACCTTGAGTAACTTCCAGGCAGTCTTGTATGCGTGTGAATTCTGCCAAAAAAAAAGAGACACAATTTTATGTTTTAGAAATTTCAAGAACAGAGCAAAAGCATTTCAAGATTTGTCTTTACCTCTTTCTTTGTGGTCTTTTCAAGATCACAAGATGGAACCAAATCAACAACAAGCTTTTTGCGGAAAGCCACAGAAGCATGCAAGAGAGCCTACACAACAAAAAGTCGTCATTTAAGTTAAACATTAAACCATAACCAGAGAAATAAATGTGGCATGAGAAAGTGATGTGTATAAGTTTTACCTTCAAGACAGAGAGATAAGAATCTGAGAGGTCTGTATATTTCCCCACGACAGCGATTCTCACCTGTAAAACAATGTTAAGAAAGAGATATCGAGGATACAAACTATTCAATTCTTTGTTGAGTTGAGTTGAGACCCACCCGTACATGTAAATTGTCACTAATTTCCACCATTGAAGCCCATTTCTCTAAAGAAGGTTCTTTAGCTATACCAGCAAGGTTCAAGACTTTTGAGATTGCTTCATGAGCCTTCTGATCCTGTTTCATGGAAAGAAAATAAGTATTGCGTTTGATGATTATCTTGATAATCCGTAGTTAAAAATTCATACCTTGAGCAACAAAGGAATGTGCCAGATGTTGTGAACATCATTGAGAGAGAAGATATTCTGAATCTGAAAAATAAAAAAAGTGGAAGCTGAATATTAAAAAAAACAACAACAAAAAGAACAAGAGAAAGTAAAACAGAACGCATCATACCGGAACATAGCAAAATCGAGATAGCTTTGCTTTGACATTCTCTTCAAGTACCTATCAGAAAACCAAAATTAAAGAAAAAAACAAAAACTTAGAAGTTTTAATAATCGAACAAGATGAGAAAGTAAACCTTTGTGCTCCGGCAAGCTATGATATTAGGTGTCAAGCCAAGGCCTCGTAGTTCTCTAATGCTGTGTTGTGTTGGTTTTGTTTTCTGAAATAAAAGAGAGAAAAAAAAATGAAAAATGAAGTTTCTCAAAGACAATCTTCATTTCAGGAAAATATATTTATATATAGTTACCTGTTCACCTACAACACTAAGCACAGGCACAAGGGTGACGTGGATCAGACAGAAATTCTCAGTTCCTGAACTTAAACCACCAATTAAAATATTGAAACAATTCTTTAAAAATCAATAGTAAAGGTTAGAGGAAGAAGTTTTCTTACCTACAGTGTATGACAATTGGCTAAGTGCATCAGTGAATGGCCCGGATTCTTTATCTCCTGCAAAAAAACAAAAGATTTCTCTGTTTATATAACAAAAGAAGCAACAAAAGAAATCAAAATTCTCTGTTTTTTTTATAAAACAAATTACCTATAGTTCCTCCTAATTCGATGATGCAAACATCAGGAGGACCTTCTTTGCCATCTACAGGAATCATTGCAACTCTCTCCACCCATTCTTTTATAGCATCAGTGATGTGAGGAATAATCTAAAATCCATTACAAAACAAAAACTTAAAAACTCAAAAAGCTTATGATAAAATGAAAAATGTTGAAACTTTCTTTCATTTACCTGAACAGTAGCCCCTAAGTAATCTCCTTTCCTCTCTTTATCCATTACATACTGTGTCAACGCCAAAAGGGATCGTCACAAAAAGCTTTAGTTATTGAGCTGTTTGCGGATAAACCCTAATCCGGTAGTTGAGATCTAAGGACTTACCTGACTAATTTTTCCGTAAGTGATATTGTTATCTCGAGTTAATGTTGAACCTAGAAACCTCTCGTAGTTCCCAAGATCAAGATCCACCTGTTTTTTCCAAACCCACCAAAAAGGTCTTTTCAAGTTACCAAAAAAAACAATAAACAACTTTAAATCCAACTTAATGAAGAACATAGGCAAGTTGGTTTCTTCTTTTTATTTACCTCACTGCCATCGTCTAAGACAAACACTTCGCCATGTTCATAAGGAGATATGGTACCAGCATCATAGTTCAGGTAAGGATCTAGAGAGATCAATGAAAAAGGAAACATACAGACAAAAGATTGAGCGTTCCGTAAGGAAAACATATTCATTAAATCTGAAACTTGAAAGGAAAGTACCGATTTTGATACAAGTAACGCGAAGACCACATGATTGAAGAAGAACACCAATACTGCTTGCTGTGATTCCTTTACCTAATCCACTCACAACACCTCCTGTTACAAGAACGTACTTCATCTTGATCTAATGATCTTCTATCCAGTTTTTATATCCTGAAAAAAAAAAAAAAGGTCAGCAAACCAGATTAGCAATCAATGAGAGGGGAAAATTTTCAGAATTTCGTACAGATCATATATTTTACAGGCAGAGCAGGTAAGTTACAAGAGAGATAACATGAGCGAACTGTGTAACAGAGAGGGATAAAGAGAAAAAGCCAGAAGCTTTGAAACAGAGAGAATCTGGTTTTAGGTAAAATCCCAGGGGTTTACAATAGCGACTGCGTAAGTTTATTTGCGAAAGATGAACAAATTAAAAAAATGTTTGTTTGCGAAAAATGAAAATCAACATTTGTGATTTATCTTACCGAAAATTAATAAATAAACAGTTTTGGATTGCAATAGATTATATTCTGATATTTCAAAATCAAAACTGTTTCCTCGGCTTGTTGGTTAGGGAGAGAAGGACAATTTATAAGAGAAGCCAAGGAGTTGGCAATTTAATGGTATAATATTTTAAACTTTAATATTTTAAAGATTATACAATTGCAGCATTTAATAGTAAGACACGCCATAAATTAAATATTAAAAATATACATTTTGTTATGGGTAATATGTGGATGCCCATTAGCCCACTAGGTCCACTTCTCTATTTGTCTCTTCTCCTTTTAAACCCTATGTTGTACTCTATATAAAGAGCTCTCTCTCATGGAATAAGACACCTTCATTCTCTCTTTCTCACAACACGTTATCAGCACGAGTCTCTACCTCTTAACTTTCTATTCTCTCTAAATCAAAGGTTCTAAAAGTTCTAATAGTTCTTATGGTGAATTCACAAATTCAATGAGTAATCTCTATTACTTTGTTAATTTGTGTTTATTCTACTAAAATCTATTTCTATCAATACTTAATTTATATTACTTATTGATAATATCTTGGATTCAGCAAACTGAAGGATCTATATATTATTTTTCCTTGAAGGAATTATATATTTCAATTATATACATCCCTGAAGGATTTGTATTTTTATTTATATCCCTGAAGGATTTATATTTTATTTCTATTTTTATTTATATCCCTGAAGGATTTCTATTTTATTTATATCCTTGAAGGATTTATATTTTATTTCTATTTTTATTTATATCCTAGAAGGATTTATATTTCACTATATCCCAGAAGAAATAATTTATATTATATATTTATTTATAGATCCCATATGGATTTATATAATTTATTTATATTTCCAGAAGAATTTATATATTTTTATTTATATATCCTAATAGGATTTATATTTTCTGTTATCCTAGAAGGATTTAATTTTTATTTTTTATCCAAGAAGGATAAATATATTTCAACTAAATATCCCAGCAGGATTTATAAATTTTATTGATATTATTTATCCCAGAAGGATTTTATATTGTCTATTATTTTATTTTCATTTATATATATTGTTCTTATTTATTTTTTTGCTTTTCAATATTTGTTATTTTAATTGATTTTCGTAATTAATTAATTGCTAAATTGAATAATTATTGAAAATTGAAGAAATCTGAATTAATTTGCATTGTTTGCATTAATTTGAAATATTATTACATTCTTGACCATATTAATTTTTAAGTTGACCTGTTGACCACATGAATTTATAATTGAATATAAGTGCTAAAATCACTCTGGAATATATATTTTTAATATTATTATTTAATGATTGTTGACTGCTTTGTTAAAATGAATCTTAATCAGTTTTATTAAAATATTATTGTTTGATTTTGCACTATAACTTCGTATATTGCTTATTACTGATTTTGAGATTGTTTATTATTGCTAAATCATCATTTGATCATTGCTAATAATAATATATATTATATTATTGCATATCTTGATTTAATATTATAAATAAATGTATAATTATTCCCTTGATTTGTTTTATTTATTGGTTTGATTTGGTTTAACAAATCAATTATTACTATTATATACTAATAAGTGTATTTCTCTATCATTACATGATTTTAAAATGTAATAATTTTACCATTGAGTAAAAAGAAAGGCATGATCACTAGAAGTGATCTAATATAGCAATCTAAAGAAAATGAACAATCATCTGAAGTGATATGATCTGATAGAGCATCTCAGACCATATAAACTTGAAGTTTATAAGTGAAAATATATTACTAATAAAAATGTATAAGAAGAAATTATGAAAATATTGTTGTCCAGTAGACACAATAGCAAATAAATTCTTAAAATTAAATTTGTCACTTGAAGTGATAATAAAAAGGTAATGTTATTTATATTAATTATTTATTTTATTATATTATTATATTTTGTTTATATATATGTTTGATAATATTTATTTATTTTTCAATTATCCTCTATATGAATATTTTGTATTTGCATTTAAGATTACAAGACTTGAAGTCTATAAATGATTTTTATTTATCTGGAAGATAATGTAAATCAATGATGATAAAAGGCATATATTGTCCAGCTGACAAAATATTATTGAAGAAAGTTTAAGAAATTATTTTGATAAAATAATGAGTTACTAATGAAAATCTTGAATCTTGTCTAATTGGTTTTGATCCATTCCCTGAAGTGAATGTGATATGAATGATTAAAGATATGATCATAGACATGAATATGAATCTTTTATAGTTCATGTTAAGGTCAAAACTAAAGAGTTTTATTTCAAGAACTCAAATTCTCATAAGAAGTGAGAAAATAAAGATGGCAGCAAATAAAAGATACACATCTCCAGAAGAGTATATAAATTTATATTTGCTTATAGTAAATAATTTTTGATGCATTATATCTTTGAAATCCCAGAAGTGAAAAGAATCAAACACATAATAGAAATATAAAAAGTTTAAAGAATCAAAGATATAAAACATGATTCAAGTTGGATATATTATTGATTTTATACTAGGATTCCATTCGAGATTGATGAACATGAAGTGACATCATCTCGAGGGGGAGAATGGATGAATCCCTCAATCACTAGAAAGTGGAACATCTAGAAGATTATGTTCACACTAAAAATAATCCTGATGAATCATATATAATGTAACTCAATGGTGTAAAATTATTTTGAAAAAATAACATACATTATCTAATGCCTCATCATAGACAAAGATTAAATAGGAGATGTAAATGTTATGTAGTAAACTAGAAGTTTACCAAATATAACATAGTTTGGCATGAGCTGGTTAGACCATTTCGGTTCAAGAATTATGCAAAATAAAATACATCATGTAAAGATTTATTGAAGAACTTGAAGATTCTTCTTAATTATCTATAATGTGATGTTTAATCATAAGACATTATGATTATACAATTACCAACTAGCCAAAATAAATTTGGAATGTATACAATTTGTAGAAAGAATATAAGAAACTTTTGTGGTCTAATAAACCATTATATGGACTGATCATCCAGTAAGAGAAATGTTATGGTGTTTCTTAAATATATCAACAAGTGTTATGTATCAATATTACATATCTGCAACCTGAAGTTTGCGAGATTACTTGGTAGTGCTAGTGAAATCACATCTTAAATCTTTGTTGAGAAAAACATGTTTGTAAGAATAAATGTTGAACATCCAGTAGCAAATGTTCATCATTATACATAATGCAAAAGCATTAATTCGCATAAAGCCAATGAATAACTAAAATTTCTCCCCATCGTAATTGGTTTAGGTCAGAAACCAAAGTTTTCCATCTAAAGATCTATGGATGTGCAGAATACATTCATAACGCTCCACCACAACAATATAAGATGGACCCTCGAAAGAGATAGTAAATGTATGTTGGATGTTAATCTCCTATGATAATATTTAGAGCTATCCATGAAGGATTTAAATATGGCTCAATTTGTAGACTGTCATTTCAGTGATTCAGTCTTTCCAACATCAGGGGGAGAAAATAAAACAGCTGGAGAAAGATTAAAGTTAGAATGAATTATCATTGATCCTCAGACGATAGTATGTGAAATAAAAGTCTAAAAGATAATTCATTCACAAAACTTACTGTATCAATTGCCAGATACAATTACTGACCCAAATATAGTGTTGAGTCACTTACCAGCTGTAAATGCTCTAAGAATAATTGATTTCCCAGAAGGACAATATCAAACTGCTAGTAAGTCTAAAGAACGCATGAAGTGTGATAGACTTCTTGGTTTCAAATATTAGTGACCTCGGTAAAGTAAAATGAGCATAAATTGACAATGGTTAAACCGAGGAAACAAATGTTTTTGAAATGATCTCAAGAAGAGATATTAAACATGACAAGAAAGAAATTCAGGTACCTGAGACAAAAAGAGATCTCGAGAATTAATTATGTCATGTATGGAATAAAATGGAACCATAAAAGCAAATCGACGTCATAAATAAAATATTTGCATGCATTATAGCAGTTGATGTTAAAGATGAGAAAGAGGATCATGAAACAAAGTCTATTGCATTGTGTACACAAAGTAATGATTTGGCCAAATCGAAAAGAAGCAATAGACAAAAACTAAAATCTCTTAGAAAGAGAAATGTATTTTGGACCAGAAGTCCTTACATCTTAAAAGTGTAAAACAAGTGGGTTATAATAGGCATGTGGTGGATGCAATTTTCAAGTTCATTAAGTGTGGCAATGAAAGAAGAACTTGAGTCTTAAGACCCACTAAATAATTTTTTATAAAAGTCCCTGAAGGATATAATTCCTGAAGGATTAATGATATCAAAACTATGAAGAACTCTAATTATTTGATCAAATGAAGAGAAATACGTCTCATTGGGGTACAATCACAAAAGTGTTACCCAGTGTATATTTATAAAACATTTATGGATCAGAAGAGATCTTTAATCTAAACATCATCGAAATTCCTGAAGAATTGTTGAAATTAGATAAAAGATATTGGAAAGACAAATTTGTCTTAAGATATCTCATATTCACAGTTTAACAAAAAGATATAATCTCAAAAGATCCTTGTAAGATTTGCATTAAAAATGCTCACATTTGGTCTTGAAGTACCACACTTTAAATTATATTTGAGAAATGTGTTGGTCTCTTTCATAACTGAAAGATGAGAACAAAATGAGCATGAGATAACTCATATATACAAGATAGACATTTACAAGAATGTATATAAAGAGAAAGTTTGGCCAGAAGTCCAAATATAACAAGAAATGATTGTTTATAGAAATAAGATGTCATATACTAGAAGTTCAAATGACTTTCATTGAGGTTATACTTATAGCAATCTCCAAAAGATGATATTTATTATTGGAATGCATCTCTTGAAGAAGATGCTTCCAAAGGGGAGATATAAGATGATATGTGTGGTTGTACTCTTTTTCCTTATTGTGGTTTTTATCCCATTGGGTTTTTCCATGAAAGGTTTTAATGAGGCAACAAAGAACACACAAATGAGAAACATCTAAAGGAAGTCTAAAGATGAAAGTTATCTCCTTTTCCAAAGTCTTGTCATCCATTTATGAGATCAATGAAACAAAGAAATGATCAAGATGAATCATCAACTACTTCCATGCACTACGAAGAATGGCGATATCAAATTCTAAAGATTGTTCAAGTGAAGATTTTGAAGATTTCAAACAAGGAGTTTCCAGACCTTTCAAGGAGTTTTCATCTTCGTGATATATGGTCATCTCAAAGATTTAGACGGATGTTCTCATGAGGGGGAGTAATGCGCTGCACTCTTTTTCCTTAGCTAAGGTTTTTCCTTGGGTTTTCCTAGTAAAGGTTTTAACGAGGCAGCATTTACGTATTTAGAAGATATTTTTGTATAATGGACATCCAAGGGGGAGTGTTATGGGTAATATGTGGATGCCCATTAGCCCACTAGGTCCACTTCTCTATTTGTCTCTTCTCCTTTTAAACCCTATGTTGTACTCTATATAAAGAGCTCCTCTACTCATGAATAAGACAATTCCATTCTCTCATTTCACAACACATTTACAATTATAATTATTTCTGAATATTAATCTTTTATATGGTAAATAAATTTTTCTAAACCAGATGGTCGTTTTTTAACCATTTACCATTAAATATATTTTATGATGGTTAACCATATCTCTATTCAAAGCATTTGTACTAAAGTTTACGCTTAAGTTTCAAAACCATGAAAAATAAAAAGTTTTAAAACATTTGTACTAAAATTTAAAGATACGAAAAAACAAAACCGAGGATGATATTGAAATAGGGGATGGAAATAACCTAAAGAGACCTTCTGAAACAACCAATCTCTTTAAAAAAAAAAAATTCAGCGGAAGATTTAAAAATAAATTCAACAAATAATAAATCAATTCAACTTAATTAAACTAGCAACCTAAACATCGAGTTCTAACAACTTAATCGAAAAAAAAAGTACTATCATCTTCTCCTTTGGTCTTGATTCCGCGATCACACTTTTCTATTACCTGCATCACAATACGAAAGAGATGTGTAAGTATTATCATAAATACTTAGTGAAACGATTATCCCACCTACAAGCCAATTACACATTCACTAGCAACAAGCAATCAGCAAATCAAATCAACAGCAACAATTTCAGCTTATGTCAAGCGACACCACCCTGGTGTTGATCGACACAAACTCCCTGTGTCGATCGACACCAACTTGGTGTAGCTCGACACTGACTCGCAATCCCGAGCCCCAAATCACGAAATCAAGCAAAAAACACAGAATCATTGGGCTTCAACATCCAAATACAGCCATAAACTCAATCAATCACATGAACAACTCAAGAACACGAACCACAATCACAAATCTAGTGAAGCATGAGCCTATGGTCACGCACTCACCTCTAAAACGGCTGAAACAGGGAAAGGAAGAGATAGACCACGAAGAACAGAAACACACCACTCGGATTTGACCCAGAGACAGCAAAATCGCCTCAAATCTGCTATTCTCTCCTCTCTAGTTCACAAAACGACAAAAGAGCAAGGAACCAGGCGGCTGTGCGTCTTTTAAATCGCGAAACGAGGAAAACCGCATAAACAGGACACTCAAATTGAACCGGAAATCGCAATTGAACAATTGGTGTCGACCTACACTCTCGTGGTGTCGCTCGACACCACTCCCAAAACAACACTGTTTGGTTTACGGATGTTACACTTTCTATATAAGTTCATATTCTTATAAAGTCATAGTTGATCTGGCTGAACGATTGGTGATGTCTATCTCTTGTAACACTTCCTGATATCGCTAAAGCATACTGATTAGCCTTAACTGATTCACAAACAGTAGCATATAAATTTCGTGGTTCTATTAGAGTGTCTGGTTTTGGCAAGTAACGATTCTTTTCGGCTACCATGGGGACTTCGTATGGAATAGAGGTGGTAGTTTTTGCTTTAGTGTCTTCCATACTTTTGTGAAAGTTGTTTCTTAATGGTGCACATTCCCAAGATTGGCGGCTGAAGGCGGCTTTTTTGGTTGCTTGTATAAGCTCCCTTACTGCAGAAAGTAAAAGAGATTGCTAAAGTAGTTCAGCTTTTGTGTTATTCTTCGAATAAATTGTATGTGTCCTAATGGTTCTGACGGCTGGCCTTAGATACTTGTGACAACTACGATGAAGACTGAAGCTCTTTGGAATTTTGGCAACAACACAATTTCTCAAGTTTGATATTCGGAATCGGTTTTTTCTCTCCAAAGATATTCTTGGTTTGCTTAATATGTGTTTATCTTATCGTTTGGTTCACTCTTTGCTTTAATGTTAAAATCAAGTCCGTCTTCTTGTTATCTCTACAAATTTTATCACACAATTAAAAGTTGGCATAAGAATTAACATTTTATCAAAGAAACATATAAACATTAGCATAATAGGAAAACGTTCCAAAAGTTAGTTCAAGAGTTGTATTCGCTTATTTTGGAAACCTTTGATAGAAAAAAAAAATAGACATTAAATAAGAATTCTGAACGATGGTTGCACAAACGATGGTCGGGTTTTCAAAGATTTACATATTTTTTTATTTTTTAGCTATTTAGTTATTTTTAGAACAATGGAATGTGACAGTGCAACCCACGGGCCACACAAGCGAGACTTTCTTACCGAATTCGAATGTCAGTCCCAACAGTGTTACCCTACATGCTACATTACGCCACACGTCCTGATATCCTCAAGTCTATGGTCAAATGTTGCATTTTCATTTCTTTTGTGGTTCAGCTTATTCTACGGGTTGTAATCTATACCTTTTAAAAGAACATTGTCGAAAACAAAAGTGCACACACGTTAATTTGTCTGTAAGATAAGAGAAATTTGACAAGATATTTTGCATTTATACGATGATAAATTTTATGTATTAATACTTGTTTTTGTTTTGTTTTAGAGCATCCTTTTTTGTCTATAATTTTTTTTATCAATGATATTTATTTTTATAACAGTTCCAAAATCTAAATTGAATAAACAAAGTTTAAATATTACACATCAGTAAAAAGACCTCGACCACTACATTCTCCCATATATATCTTCATATTTTGCGTCCTTAATATATACACAATGGAGAAAAAAAAGAGAATATTACCAAATAAAAATTTAGAATAAGGAAAATCTCATCTTACATATGTCAATCATTTCCAGTAAATTTAAAAACGTCCTACTTTTCAGGTTTAACAATTTTTGACTATATCAACTCTATCTAGAATTCCACTGTTAGTTACTGCATAACCCCAATACTAGAGCTTTCAATAACATAGGTTACTTATTTGTTTATCATGTGATAATCTTTATATTATTAATTGAGAAAGTACATGAAAATTTATGACAAAAAAACAATCTAATTATGAAGAGAAAGTGTTTGCAACAGATTTAATTAGGGTCAATTTAGTACATTGTAATGTTTGGAATACAAGAATAAGAGAAAAAACTATTTGGATAGAAGAATAAATGGAAAAAATTGTTTGGATACAAGAATAATAACTTAAAACAAACCGATGGTTTAGAAAACTTCCGTTTTCCAGCTCTTAAAAATCTGCAAAAAAAAAACTTAACATAATCTAACGATAATACCAAATCAATAGAATATGCTTTTTGGATTTTCGGGTTTTTATAGACAAGTTCGGGTTTGGGTGAAAATCTGAGACATAATTTTATAGAGATATAGAGATATAGAAATTGTTCGGGTTTCTTTGAAAATTTCTGTTCGGGTTGGGTTCGAGTTTTTTTTTTCAGTTTAGGGTTTTCCGGATTTTTTGGATTTCGGGTTTTCGGGTTTAGATATATTAAAAAATTTGAGTATTTTAAAATTTTGATTAGGGTATTGGGTCGGGTTCCGGGTGAAAAAGTTTCCAGATTTTTTTTGTTCAGTTCAGGGTTTTCGGGATTTTTTTGATTTTCGGGTTTAGACATATTAAAAAAGTTTGGGTTTTTAAAATTTTGATTAGGTTTTTTGGTCGGGTTCGGATTTAGGGTTTAAATTTTCTACACAAAACCACAACGTCACACTGCACAAATGTGCAGATATTCTACTAGTATATCCATATGGGAATAGTACAAAGACAGAGACCTAGAAATCGCCGTTGTTAAAATAATTTTTTTGTACATAAAATTTGTTGGACTTGACTTTTTTTTTTCTGAGTACTTGTTTATAATTTTTAAAAGCTGTTCAAATATTATATGTTAGAAATATATTTTTAAAAACAAATTTGTTAGATATAAAAACACATTTTGAATACTAATATGATTTTTTGTACTCCTATTTACTTACAAAAAGTAATAAAAGAAATCGATAATTTAATTGACAATACAATGAAAGTTGAAACAAAGCATGATGCAGTAATAAAAGGTCTTTAACTTCGCTCAGGCAAAAGGACATGGAGTTCGCCCTAATGTGAACTCTCCCAGGCACGTCTATCGAGGTGGCCGCCGCCGCTGCTGGTTGTCTCCACGATGCTTCTCCTCTGTCATCGCTCCTCCGTCTCGTCAGTCCGCCTCTCTGTCTAAGCTTCGCAGCCTCTCCGTCTAAGCTTCGCAGCCTCTCCGTCTAAGCTTTGCAGCCTCACTGTCTAAGCTTCGCAGCCTCTCCTTCTCTGGTCTTAGCTCTCAAAGTTCTGTTTAGCAGCCTCCGTAAGCGACATCCTGTGGACTTCTCGATGGTTTCAGTGGTTCTCTTGAGGACGGAGTTCCCGTCACCGCCGTTCACTTCACCGGATCTGCTTGGTTGTGCGGCTTTCTCTCATCTCCGGATGTTTCGCTCTTCGATTCAGCCGCTCCCTCCACCGGAGCCTCCGGATCCACCAGATCCGCCAGACTCTCGCTACAGTCCTACGTCTTTCTCATCGTCCTGCGCCGCTTCTCACCGTCCTGCGTTATTTATCGCCGGCCGATAGCCCATCAGTTCCCGCTCAAGCTTTGTCAATCTCATCCTCCTGCGTTTATGCAGCGGTCGACACATTCTCAGCCCGATTATTACCAAATCTACCGGATCTAGCTTCTCCGACCTCCTTCGCTCAGATCTGTTGTGCTTCACATCTGGTACAGCAAGGCTCACTGCTCTAATCTTATGGAACCATCTCACCAACCCGTTCATCCCTCTCCGACACAACATCACCACCGGCAAACCCTTCCCACCACCACCTTCCATCACTACTGTGTTTTCATTAGCCAAAATCGCCCATCACTCTGAAGTCTTTCCCGGAGTCGATTTTCAGTTTAACCTCAGAGCTCTGCTCAATCTATGGGCTCTACCCACCATTTCCCGCTCAAGCTTCACTTTGTTCATGCGTTTGGGTAGCGGTCGACACGTTTTCATGCTATTCATTGTCACATCTACCGGATTATTTGTCGGGTTATCATCGGATTATTCCGACTTGGGTTCAAGAGTACTCCTAACTTGCTGGTGTATCTCTAATCCTACATCCGCCGTTCAAGAGTATTGCCAATTTACTGGAGTACCTTTGAACTTGCCTCTCTCCATTATGGAGATCGACTCTAAACGCTCAACAGCCTTGACGACGACACCACGAGCTATTCACCTTGTTCACTCGCTTTCAATAGCAAACGAACTTGAGATTGTTTTCGAAACGATCTTTGAAGCCCTTACGAAGAAGCTTCCAGTTTTTATCATTGATCTAAACTGTCTAACTTATCCCTTTTAATGCTTTCTATTTCATTTCTATATCAAGCTCCTTCTACTCTTTGGCAAAGAGCTTTCAGCTTTCTATTGTAAAGCTTTCTATTGCAATCGCAGTTTAAGTTTAGTCTAATGAGAAGAAGTTGTTCAAAAAAAAAAAAACTTCGCTCAGGCAGGTTGGTTGGACTCTGGAGATGCATGTACTAGGCCTAGCATGTACTACTTCTAGGAGGTTGGTGTCGGTTATTGACAGTTGGACCACGTCACTGACACGTGGCGTACAGTGTCCTTTTCATCGGTTAACTTAAGAAAGTTGTGGGTCCCATCATTCTGCTGACCAACTGACACTCGACTGTTAAGCTTTACCCGTACGGTAGTGGGTCCTACTTATGACTCATCACAACTCTTGTTCATTAAATCCTCTTGTTTCTGGTGTACTTTTATCTTCCCATTTCTTTATTTGTAGTATCATTTTCAAAATCTTCTTCAAAATTACGAGCAATAAAAATTAATTTAAATAGCAGGCAGAAAAGTCTCCGAACGATTAATATAAATAACAAAATAGCAAAATATAATAGACTAATAAGTAATAGGCTGAAATCCAAAAAGACATGTTAGAGAATCATATGACTATTTTAGTTATGATTATTTATTTTTGGTGAATTTTTAGTTATGATTATTGCAATACGTGGCTGAGTCCTTTATAATTTACTCACTAATAATGATTAGCAACTACGAAAAGGAGGCGTGTCAATGTCGTGTTGATGAAATGATTTCTTTGAGTCAGCACATGAGTATCTTTTAAGGATGTGAGAATATTTCATGTGTTTTACACATTTACTAGGTCGGCACGCGCAAATTTTTCTTTCTAAATTTGTGTGTATCAAATTAGATATTAAAATTGTAGACCTATCTTCTTACCATCACCTGGTCTACAATCATTTCATTTAAAAGTTACACGAGTAAGCATATTATTACCTCCAAATAGTCAAATACAAATGAATCTCCTAAAACAAAACTACATGATCAGCATTTTTGTGTTTGTTCGTTTGTTGATTAGCAAAACAAGTGAATCGGTTGTTAATTATCTTTCTGATTTAAGATTACCGAATTTTCCATGCTTGAAACAAAATGATCAAATACATACACACAGAGACAGAACGAGATAGAAAGAGTAAGCAAAAACAAGCAAAAAAAGGATTCAAGCCTTCTTAGCTCTTTTAATAGAAGCTTTATTGATTGCATCAGTGATCTCTCTCCGTCTTTTTGCATTATTGTTCTTGTTAATCTCTCCAGCATTGTTGTTATTGTTTTGAGCGTTGTTTGTTCCTCCAGAGCTCTTGTTTGCTGCTTTCAATGCTTCTTGCACAAACACCTTCAGTCTCCACAATGTAACATCAGTCTGTTCACAAAAACGAAAGAAGTTTATAAACCAAAACTCTGATACAAAGAAAGTGGAAGCTTTTGGTGTTTTATACCTGAACATCGATGTCAAGCTCGACTTCTGGTGCTCCAGCAGGGAAGCTCGGGTTGCTCTCTGAAACCATCTTTAACGCCTTAGACAGATCCTCAGGAGAGAGACGACCTAAAGCTGCAGAGAGTCCCTTCTTCTCTTGAGTAGACAACTTTCTGTTCATCATTTCAAAATCATACTAAGAACCTTCACTAATGGGTAACAAGATGATCAACAGCAGAGATTGTTCAAACCTGCATCTCTGAACTACTGTTTCTCTGAGTCTCTCCAGCTGCATATCGATCTCAAATAGCTAAAGACACATGCAAAGAAAACTCATCAAAACCGGAGCTACTATATAAACAAATGGCCTTGAAAGAAATGGGTTTCTAGCATTTGCTTACTTCGTTGCTCAGTTCTCTAGCCTTTTCTGCATGAGCAGCCTCAAGAGCAAGCTGCTTATTAGCACACTCCTGAGCTTCTTCCTGTTCTTGTTTCTTTTCCTGTTCATACCAAAAGCAGTTTTAACACGTCACTGACATTACACAAAGACGAATAAACATGTGGTCTACACTACTACCTCTTCAGTGGTTTTGGGCATTATGGTAAGCCATTTCTCCTCAAACTTCTCCAACAGAGAATGAGCCATCACAAAGACATCATCTTTCGGTTCGTTATACTTCATAGCGTTCTTGAAAACTAGCCTAACATCAGCATATATCTCCCGGACATTGCTATACTCTGAAGCCTCCATTTTGCTTTTGATTGTTCCCAAGTCCATTGGCTTCTCTATCACCTGTTAAGAGATTCACAGAAGGTTTATCAAAAACACTCATTTCTCCGAAATTCCATGGAAGCAAAAGGTTTTGAATCTTGACCTTGTGATAATCATGGAGTCCAAGTCCTTTAACATCAACAGGTTCCAGAAACGGCCATGCCCATTTTTGTTGAGCTATCTAAGAGGTAGTAACAAGACCAAAGGTTCAGATCCAGCAAACAACTAAGGAAGCATTAAACAAAGTAAAGTGATAATTTTTTCTTGCTTGCCTGACGAATAATTGTAGCAAACTGACGCATAAGTTCAGGGCTTGAAACATGTTTCCCCTTTGTTTTCTCTTTCCCGGAAGAGTTACATTTTGAGAGGTTTGGTTGAGAAATGGCAATCTTTTTGCCGCCAGAGTTACTCTTAGAAGTGTTTGTCTGAGCTGCTCCATCTTTGCTAGAGTAAAACTGTTCAACCTCCACAACTTTCTGCTCAAGCTGCACTTTTGTGATACATCGGTAAGAAATTCGTAAATAGAAAGTAGTGAACGACGACGCAAAGTGAAAGCAATTGTCACCTGATTCACTCTCTCAGTGATATCATCCACGCAAGTCCCAAAATCCTCAAGCTCACTTTCCCCATTTCCAATGAGAACGGCAAGCTCTGAATTCTCGACATCGCAGTTTGAGACAAGCACAGGTTCCTCCTTAAACATTGAAAGAAACTAATCAAAACAAGCTCTACTTTCTCTATGTTCTCGTAATCCGATAAGTCTATGCAGAAGATTAATATTATTGCATAATTCTAACTGGAAATCGAGTCTAGAAACCATTCTAGTTACTTATTAAGTGTTTAAATTGAATAAAGTTGGAGACTTTATGAATACCCTGAATCTAAAAAAACGTGATTTCTCAACAAAATCAGCTTAGCTTATCAGATGGAGCCAAAGGTAAATCAAAATCAATCCACAGACAAAGCATGGAATTGAATCAGAAGAAGAAAGAGGCTGAAACTATATGAGGGAGTAAAATTATGTACCTTTACATGTACAGACATTGGAGAAGAAGGGTGGTGACTGGAGAGATCTTCGACGGATCAGGAGACAGGTCGGAGGAAGAGGAAGAAGAAGAAGAAGAAGAAGATTGAAGAGAAGCCAGCAAACATTTTTCCCGGTTTAGGGTTTAGAACAAAAAGCCTTTTCGATAAATGGGCTTCTATGTTCGGCCCATTAATCAAGTACGTGTTTTTCTTTCCAACATTTCAAATTACAGGTTAGGGTTTCGGGTCGGGTTCGGGTTTTGGGTTAGATTCGGTTTTCTTCCGGTTGCTAAATTTCACATATATTTGATTGTAATTTGGAATTGGCCAAAAAAAAAATGTTACTTGTATATGTCTTGTAGACATGATTGTTCATTTCTATATATATCCAGCAGTTATGATGTGTTGTATAATGTCCCGACCGCCCATCCCGGTGAGTCACCCCGTCCTTTCTCAGCCTGTAGGCCCCACTCTATATGACGGCCGGTTCGCTATTTTTTAAAGGCTCTAGAGACTTATTTATTAATACTGCAATCAACACTTGACATTTTCCTCTGTTTTGGCCTTACTCACACAGTTTTGCAAATCACTTCCTGGACACATATCCTTCCATTACTCCAACCCAAACACGCTTAACTTTGGAGTTACTTATAAACCCTTAACTGGAAAGATAAATGCACTTTATTAACATAGGTAGCCAAATCAATTTTTCTTAAGTTTTTTTTTATTTATCATAAATAGAGATGTTATAAATTGCATCTTCTCATAAGTCACAACTTATATATACTAGAAATATAATTAGAGTTAGGCAAATTTTTCGTTCCATCTTGTTCCATTTTCATCATGTACGTTTTTTCCCGTCTCGTTCGTCTTGTATGTCCCATCCCATTCAGTCATATCTTATCCCATTATGATTCTTTCCATTTTGTTTATTATTGTCTCGTTTCCTAAATATAATTAGAGGTAGACATAATTCTATCTCATTCCGTTCCTTTTCATCTTGTCATATTCTTTCCCATCCAGTTCCTTATATCCGCCCCATCCAGTCTCATCATAGATTATGTTCATTTCCATTTTGTTTTATCTTTGACTCATCTCTAAATATAATTAGGGATATGCAAAATTCCGTCACATTCCATTTCTTTTCATATTGTCCCGTCCAACATTTATGTCTTGTCCTCTCTCATAATATTTTTTCCGTTCCACCCCTAAATATAATTAGTGGTAGGCGAAATTTCCGTCTTGTCCTATTCCGTTCTTTTCTGTTCCTTTAGATCTCGTCTCGTCTTTAATATCATAAGAAGTAAACAAAATTCCCCTTTTCTCTGATTCTATTTTTTTCGTCTCGTCATATTCAATCTCGTCTCTTTTCATTCAAAAATACGATAGAAAAAACAGTGTTTTTTGTATAATATATTTTTATTTTTATAATTATTATTAAATAATAGTTTTTATAGATTTATATAAAATCTTTCTTCTTTTTGTAAATGACTTTTCACATTCTTGTTAAACCTATTTAATGAATGATAACTATTATAAAAGTTTAAAAAAGAGAAAATATGATATATTAAATGTTTGTGATGAAATGATGAATTTAGAGCCACCCTCATTTGCTGAGGTGGCAGCTTGAGAAGAGAATCACATGAACTTTATATATATAGATATGGGAACATAATATTTATCTGAATCTACTCATAATATAAAGACTTTCATATAAGATGTTATATTTATTGGTGACATTATCATATATTTAAAATCTCTAATATAAATTCAAATATTATTTTTTATAAATGTAAAATGATTTTATAATTGGCATGAAATTATTTATTGGAAAAAACATGTTTACAATTAAATTCATTATATATTCATATATATATATATATATGCTCAGAAATCCAGTATATTGAAGAACAAAATTGTATCATTAATTTGGAATTATATATATATATATATGTTATTTATTTTTAAAAAATTTTATAATAAAAGTTTTTTACATAATTTATTATTTTAAGTGGAAGTATATTAAAATAAAGATCAACTGGTTATATATTTATATAAAAATGAATATGTTAACAAATCTTATATATTGAAAAATTATATATTATTAGTTTTGAAATAATAATATCAGTTTTCGATTTTTGAAATATTTTATAATAATTATTTCATGTATTGTTTATGTTGTTTAATGGAAGATATATGAAAATCTTTAATATTTGTAACTGAATAAAAATAAAAATAGTGTACTAATGGCATTGTATGTAAAAATTCTAGTAAGTGATATCTTAATTAAAAGTTGTCTTGAGAGTGAACCTGGTGATGACATATAAACATGACATTCTTGTTAATATCACATGAGAGAAAGATTATTTTGATAGTGTTTTCTCTTTTAATATGATTATTTTGATAGGGTTGTGACTATTACAAAGTTTTATTATTTATATTTTAATTGTTTTCTCCAAATCAAATTTTGTAAAATGTTTGCGGTATGCCTGAGATTTTTAACCTCCACACGAAAATCTAAACCGTACCGACCCAAAATGCCCGTACCTGATTGAATTTGGATATATAGCAAATCATCCATTGGGTAAATATTTAATAGCCATGGGTATTGGGTAATATGGATATTGGGTAATCCGGACACCCAAATTACTTGAATTATAGATATTGTAGATAATTTTTGATATTATAAATAATAATAGTTTTTTTGTTTTTCAATTTCTTTTTTGATTTTCAGATATATTTCCAGTATTTACAAATATATTTTTTTCGGATTTTTGAGTATTTTTTGGGTTATGGATATATTTTATTTTATTTTGGGGTGATAAATAACCATATTTCTCGAGAATAGTTCGAAGCGACATTTGTAAACGTTGAAAGCAAAGATGGATTTTAATCTATATTTCTCGAGAATAGTTCGAACCTCGAGCTGATCCTGCTCCCAACCACCAAGATTCGACTTGAACGCATCGATAAGACCTTTTCCACACTTATACAGATGGATCTCCATCTCCCGCACCGTCTCTGTCACTTTCCGCAGCCTCATTTCACTATAGGGGTGAGAATCATCGAGCAAGAGAGTAGTCTTGAGAATAGATCGAACCTCGAGCTGATTCTGCTACCAACCACCGAGATTCGATCTGAATACATTGATCAGACCTTTTCCGCACCCTCGCCGTCACTTTCCGCAGCCTCAATTCACTGTAGGGATGAGAATCATCAAGCAACAAATTAGTCTCTTCTTTAATCTCTTGTTGTGGATCTTTTTCCTTCTCCTTCTCCGGCATCGCTTTCGTTGATATGATTAAATGATTCGCCGGTCTGATAAAAAAGAAAAGCAAAACAATACATTTTATGGTAAAAGAAAAGCAAAAAAAGTTATAAATTATTGGATGAAAGCGATTATGGTAATTAAGGTTCCTATACATTTTATTGCGTTCTAGGTAGTTTGCCTCTGATTGGTCCAATCATGGCGGTTCGGCTTCAAGATGAAGTGTGAAGAGGCAATAGTGGGCGTTCGGGCTTCCAGTCAGGTTTGGTTCGGTTTATGTCGGGTTTGGATTGGTCCGGGACTATTTTTTTAGATCCTCGGTTCTTATTCGGGTCTGATTTTGGGGTCTCATTCGGGTCAGTTTTTTTGGGTTTTTTATACCAAAAACCCAATCATTATCCCAAAACCTGTGAAAACAAAAATTTAAATGCAAAACTCTGAAAATATATCGATTTTCTGATTTATTATAATATGTTTTCTGCATGTGATTATTGAATCAAAATATATTAATCTATATAGAAGAAGTTATGAGTTTTCCAATCATATAAATTCGATGTGGGATAAATTATAATGTTTAATTTTTGTTTTTACTTTTGTCCCACATCGGAAACAAAGCAAGTGAAGCAAAGAAGTTTTCTTCTATAAATATAAGAACAAAATCTCATTTGTGCATTAATAGTTATTGTTGGGCTTCTTGAACATTAAGCCCAATATATATATTTTTACTCTTTTATTTCTTTTAATATGAGTAATAATATAAAATAACTAATTTTTTTTGGTACTTTTCGGGTTTTGGGTTTTGGGTTAAAACCGACTTGACACTCATGGGTCCAAAAAAAATCAGACCCAATAGAGTAATAGTCACGGATCCGAACCGGTTTTTTAGAGTCGACTTCGGTTCAGGTCGTCGGGTCCGTGAAATGACCAGGCGTAGTATTAAGTATAATTTTTTTAGTAAGGAGATGCCACATGGCATTTTCAGAATGAAGTTAAAATGTTGAGGTGTCACTCTCCTGGAGAGAGTTATCCTCTCATTATATATAAGATTTAATCCCTTTTTTACATTGTAATTTGTTACCTCATTCATCCGTTTACTTCATTGTGGCTATGACTATATTTACAAAGAAACAAATATGATTGTCTTTTACGACAAAAAAAAGCCTTATATATTATATTCAGTTGTACAAGTTTTAGATTATATTTATTCTTCAAAGTGATTCAACCGATTACCCCTTTTCTTCTTTGCTCGTCTCTTTGGGGTTCATTATATTGTCCGTTATTAGCTAAATTGTCTTCAAAACGTTATTGGTAATTTGATGGGAAATTTCAAAGTTACATCTTTTTAGATATCAATTTTCAAAATTAGATCTATAGGGTATCTATTTTCCAAAAACACTAATGTAAACAAT